TCTACAGTTCACAAGATTCGTGTATACCATTTTCAAAGAGAGATAATTTCACATTACTGGGACAAATGGGATGTATGATGTCAGGAAAGTTCTTGCAGAAAGTCTTTTTTGTTTCAGTGCCTCCTTGCTGTTTAATGTGGTGATTAAAGAAGAGTAAGGAACCTATCCATTGAAACTGCATCAAATGAATTTCTGCCCCAAGAAGGATTATGAGAAGGCCACCACCCCTGCCTCTTTGGAAGCAGTCCTGCGCGTCTGCTTTTCCCCACTCCTCCAGGAGTAGGGAGCCCAGATTCCACAAACTTGAAAGAATTTTATGAGCAGAGGGCTGAAACTAGTGTGATAAAGCCTGAGTGTCAGTCATAATTACGAGTTCAGAATAAACAGGGGGCAGAATAACCCATTTATCTCTAGATATCTTGGTGTCCACCTTATTGCTTATTTTGAAAACATCATCCCCAATTTTAGGACTATCAAAACAGCTATTTGCCCAGTGGTGGGCACCTCTGGATGAGTTTGGGGCCATCCTTACTGTTTGAAGGGAGGGTTTGACTGCCCCCTCTGTCCTCTCTCTGATTTGTCAGTACTTGGGTTCTGAGTAAAATTGCTCTCTCTGTACCAATATTGGAGCCCTGGTGGCCTAGTGGTTAAGAGCTTGGCTACTAACCAAAAGGTCGGTAGTTCGAATCCACCAGCTGCTCCTTGGAAACCCTGTGGAGCAATTCTGCTCTGTCCTATAGGGTCACTATGAGTCGTAATCGACTTGACAGCAGTGGATTTGTTTTTGTTTTTTTTTAACCAATAATAGTTTCCTAGTGTCATACAGATACTGAGAAATGGTCATTTTATTAAATAAGATATTTGAATTTGCTTCCTAAGTGGAAGAAGGCATACTGTATTGTGAATAATTTACTCATTCTGTAGTAATTAGAAAACTGTTCCTTAGAGCCCCCAATGTTGTCACTGGATTTTTCTGAGTGGACCACCTTGGAGGATAAGGGCAGGGGGTGGCAGGTAGGGCCCGGGGCCACCTTTTCCCACCTGACCTCCTTAACCAGGGCTGCTCTCCTTTCATTTGTCCTGTGTCCTGCAATTTTTGTCTGATGTTTCGTTTGCCACTGTTTGAGTAAGTCAGCTGGGTCTTGCTTTATAGGTTGAAAAAATACTGAAAATATTTGTACACTATTTGATATAATTTTCTAAGGAAGGGAATCGGCAGTTAAGAGTCCTGTAGAATACTGAATATCCAGCTAGGAATTTCCTGAGTTTGTAGGACTGTTTCCTAGTAGAGACCGTGGTGATACATCACGTGGATTCCATGTTCAGGGGTAGTTCTCTCATGTTCTGGCCTAGTGGGAACACACGGTACCTGGTCAGCAGAGGTGTATTGAGTGACTCTTACCTCTGCCGACACGCTGTGTACCTACCTCCTTGTCAGTCTTACATTTCTGTCCTGGAATATCTTCCCCGTTTTATTCTTCTTTGAAGTTCTGCTTATTCCATGAGGCTTATCTCAGTTTCCGTGTTGCCTATGAAGACTGTACTGATACTCCCGCCACCATCTATGCTTTTCATTTTCTTAAATGCCCGTGGTTTTTATGTCAATGACCTCCATTTTTAACACATGATCACACATTTCTTTTATATCCCTCAGCACCTAACATAGAGTTTGTCAGAGAACAGAATGCGCGGTTATTATGAGTTGAGTTAAATTTAACTGGATTAATAAACCAAAATTCCAGACCTAAGGATAACTTACTTAAGAAAATCATAGTTTAAGACTAGATAACTTTTCTTGATTAATATTTGTGTTACATTAGATTAGTGTTATCAAATACAAATGTACTACTTTCAGATTCTTTTTGTTTTAGGGCAAAATGGTACAAAAGGGGACTTACACTGAGTTTCTGAAATCTGGGTTAGATTTTGGTTCCCTCTTAAGGAAGGAAAATGAGGAAACAGATCAGTCTCCAGTTCCAGGAACTCCCACACTGAGGAGTCGAACCTTCTCGGAGTCTTCGGTTTGGTCTCAGCTATCTTCTAGACCCTCGTTGAAAGAGGGCACTCAAGAGGACCAGACGGTGAGTTCCATCCCATCTTAGAGCATGAGTTGGTTTTATTGGCTTATACTGGCCTCATGGCTCTTCAGTCAACTCTGCTCATGATGTCTTCATTTGTCCCAAAGTAGATTGTATGGTTCTGAGGCCTTATTCACTGGAATTGATAGAATTAAAACAGAATGAAGAGGAGTGAGCCTGGTCTGGGTTAGCCTTTGGGTACGGGATGGAGACTCCCATGGAGATCAGTGGTGGGTGTGCCACTGGCAGTTCTAAAGGCCTTTGTGGCTCATGGTGATATTAGGACTCTTCAG